CGCATTTCCACGCGGGGTGGTTGGTTTGGGGCCTCCGACGGCCACGCTGGGACGTTAGAACTTTGTCCCCCCCGCTCCAAGGAAACATGGTGGGCAGAAGGAAACTTCGGGTGCCTTGATCAACCTCCCCCTGGGGGCGTCGATGGTCCCACAGCACGAGACATCTGTCGATCCACCAAATCAAATAAGGAGTTCCCCAGGTCCCGAGTAAGGTTCTAATTGTGGTGCCCAGCGGTCCCCCAATCAAGGGCCTTATTTGGGTCCTCGGCGGTCACAGGTCCCACCCGTCTCACAGATTTCACAGGTCCCACAGGTCCCCCAGGCTCCACAGGTCCCACAGGTCCCGCAGGTCCCGCATGTCTCGCAGGTCCTGCAGGTCCACTAGGCCCGGCAGGCCCCGCAGGTCCCGCAGGTCCCACAGGTCCCACAGGTCCCACGAGTCCCACGAGTCCCACTGCTCCCACAGGTCTCACCGGTCCCACAAGTCCACCAGGTCCCACAGCTGTCGCAAGTCCCACAGGTCTCGCAGGTCTCACGGATCCTGCAGGTCCCACAGGTCCCACAGGTCCGAGAAGTCTCGTAACGCCGCAGGCCTCGCAGGTTTCGCGGGTTTTGCAGGCCCCACGCGTCCCAGAGGTCCCACAAGTCCACAGGTGCGAGTTCCATAACTCCCACGTGTCCCTCGGCTCCCACAACGCCCACAGGTCCCACAGGCCCCGCAGGTCACGCAGGCCTCGTTGGTCCCGCAGGCCCCACACGTCCCATAGGTCCCACAGGTCCCACAGGTCCTGTGAGTTCTACACCTCCCACGTGTCCCACGGCTCCCACAACGCCCACTGGTCTCATAGGCCCCGCAGGTCTCGCAGGCCTCGTTGGTCCCTCAGGTCCCACAAGTCCCACGGGACCCACAGGTCCCACAGGTCCCACAGGTCCCACAATTCCAAGAGGTCCCGCACGCACGGCAGTTCCCACAGGCCTCACTGGTCCCACAGGTCCCACAGGTCCCACATGTCCCACATGTCCCACAGGTCCCACAGGTCCCACGGGGCCCACAGGTCCCACGGGTCCCACAGGTCTCCCATGTCCCACAGGTCTCACGGGCCACACAGGTCCCACGGGGCCGACAGGCCCTACAGGTCCTGCAGGTCCCCAGGTCTCGCAGGTCTCGCAGGTCCCACAGGTCCAACACGTCTCGTAGATATCGATGGTCCCACGTGTCCTCCAGGTCCCACAGGTCCCTCATGCCACCTTTGCTGCTTTCAGGGCGCCTTGCATGGGAAAGTTTTGTGAAGTACTGGGCGTGCTTCAATTCCTTGAGCTGCGCGCAGTGCGGAGTGGGCCACGAGTGCAAGTGGGAACTGCTGCCCCACACTACATCGGGCACTTCGCCCGTCGTGGATGTGTTACGTTAGCTTGCGGAGGCGGTGGTTTCCATCGTGGCCATGCGCCTTGACTCCTCAGGAGCGCCCGACTCGCTTTCAAGAAGCCCCTGCCTCCCCAGAAGGCCCCTCCCCCGCCTCCGCCCCTCCTGCGCGCCGCCGTCCCACGGCGGCGCCGCTGCACCTGCGATGCGCAGGCTGTTCGGGTTGAATACTCCTGGGCCAAGCCGCTTCTTTCTGGGAGCCCTGTGCACTCCAGCTGCAGGCAGATGAGGTGCACTTCGAGGTCGGATGGGGGTTCAGTGGTCCCTTAGATTTGCATGCGTTCCGTTGTTCTTGTTGGTGGCGAGCCCCTTCGGTGTTCCTTCGGATTTTACGGCCGTTGCTTCGGATTTCACGTCTCGACTCGGAAAGAAGGGGCTTTGTTCATTACCCCGTGTTCCTTGTTCCAGCAGCCCGACTCTATGGTGGCCTATTGCACTATGGGGGCCTATTGCAGGGACACCAAGACCGGGCACACGGTGGCCGTGAAGCTCGCCAGAGACAACCGCCGCCAGTGGCGCCACGCCACCGCCGAGGCGGAGACGCTCCGGCGGCTGGAGGAGGTGGACGCAGAACGGTGCCGCCGCAGCTTGGTTCGGTTGCTGGACACTTTTGTGCACGAGGACAGGGGTGGACAGAGGGGAGGGGGGGAAGCAAGGGGGGATGGCGAGCGAATCAGCTACGCGTCAGCTCGATATCTCGGCGCCTCATGGCGACGGGGACGACCAGGCATCCAGGGAAGTGCCCGGCGGCGGGGCCTGCATGGAGCAGTCTTCGCCCCCCCCCCCCACTTGCCAATGACCCCCCAGTCGGCACCACCCACCAAACCACCCCATCCCAACACAAAGGCCCCAACTTGCCCTCCATTCCCAGCTGGAGGGGGGGGGCGTCGGGGAAAATTGAACAGCAGATTCCGAGTTTCCCCATAAGCGTCGGAGGGGCGTCACCCCCGCCGACAGCCCCACATCGACCCCCGTCGCGGGCAGCCACCGCGCGCCGAAGGCGCTCCGACCCTCGTTGCGGCGCGGCGACGAGGCGAGGTTGACCCCCCGTAGGAGGGGGTACCCGCCCACGCTTATTAAGAAACCCGGAGTCCGCGGAGCCCTTGCCCTCCCCCAACCCGAAATTCAGGTCTTCGGGCTGGGTTGGGGTGGCCCGGTGGGCGGTCAGTCCGGCCGCCCAGAGAGAGGACGGCCCGAGCCGCCATTTCTGCCTCGTCTTCGAGCCGCTCGCAGACAGCCTCCGCGGCGTCGTGCAGGCCGCCGGGGGCAGCGGCCTGCTGGCCCGGGACGTCCAGTCGGCCGCGCGGCAGCTCGCGGGCGCGCTCGCTTTCCTCCACTCCGCCGGCCTCGCGCACACCGACGTCAAGTGCACCAACGTGATGCTGAGGTCAGGGGCGGCCTGGCCGATCCCTGGCAAGCCATCCCCTTCCGTGGCGTCCCCCTCGCCTCGCCCCGAGGCGCACGTGTGCGGCCAGGGGGAAGCTCGAAAGGCGAGGGTGACGTCATGGAAGGGGATGGTTTGCTAGGGGTTGGTGAGGCCGCGCCCGATGAGGGACGCCGCTTTCGACGTCGCGCCCCAGCCCAGGGAAACAGAAGGGGTGCAACCGACATCCCCAAAGAAACGCCAGGCCGCAGGCGAAATGCGCAACCCGACCCGGAGGTTGTTCGGTTCGTGCATATCGGGGCTCAAGAGACGAGGGTCAGTGCAAACGGGGGCCAGCCAGAGCGCCGGATCGTCCAGGATCCTGCAGGGCGCAGGGCAAGGGGTGCATTGACTCGGGCTTGGGTGCAGGATCCTGCAGGATCTTGCAGTATCCTGCAATGCCTGACTGACCTGGGTCTGGATTGACCCGGGTCAGAAGATCCCCGAATATCTCAGGCTATGGCTCTTCGTGGCCTATGAGAATCCCAACGCCTCTCGTTCCGAGAAGGCGCTTCCCGTCGTCTGCGAACTGGCCAGCCCTTGCAATGCCGACTCTGAGGTCGCTCAGTTCTTTATTAGTCCATTGTCGATCTAACTCAACAAAACTCGCAACATCTTCTCACTCCGAGAAGGCGCCTATACTGTCATCAGTTTAGGGCTGAGAATGGCACTGTTTGAATCCCAACGCATTCTCGTGCGGACAGGGTGATTCTCGTCATGCGCCAAACGAGAAGCGCTGACAATCGCGACCCAGTAGTCGTTCGAATCATTGCTAGTTAAGTGTTAAGCATACGTTTTATACATCCCGTCACCTTCTTGTTCCGAGAAGGCGCTTCCCGTCATCCGCCAGCCGCATGTTGGACACCCCCCTGGGGAGTCCTACACAAGTAAAAACACGTGGCGAATGCACGCGTGCCAGACGCATGCTGGATCCCCTCCCCGCTCGTGCTCTTACGTGTGGGGAATCCGCTATCACCACCTCGCACGACTCCTACCCGGCGCCCGAGGCCGCTGGCGAATGTATGCGTGCCAGAAGCATGCTGGATCCCCTCCCCGCTCGTGCTCTTGCGTGTGAAGAATCCGCTGACACCACCCCGCACGACCTCCTGCCCGGAGCCCGCGGCCGCCGCAATGCGCTTGAGAACCTGCATGGTTTGGATGCGTCGCCCGCTTCCCTCCCCCCTCGCCCTCCTCCGCCTCCTCCGCCTCCTCCTCCTCCTCCTTCTCTTCCTCCTCGCCCTCCTCCTCGCCCTCCTCCTCCCCCTCCTTTCTTCCCTCGCGCTTCTGTTTATCAATTCGCCTTTCTGCCACCCAGTTCAAGCCCCGACCGCGCCGCGCTATCGCCGGCGCCGCGGCAGCAATTCTTGTATACCGTCCTTGGCGCCCACGCGTGCGAAAAAACGTGATAAGTGCACGCGTGCCTGGCGAACGTGCGACCCCCCTTTTCCGCACGCGCATGTGCACATGCGAAGAATCGTATCCACCAGCCGCATGTTGGATGCCCCCCCTGGGCCAGGGGGTGTATCCACAGAGACGGGGGCCCAGGAGGCCCCTGGCACCCACACGCGTGAAAGCACTGGACACATGCACACGTGCCAGACGCACGTTGGATAACCCCCCTCCGCGCACGTGTTGCTCTGCTCGCGGAGCCCTCTGCCCGAAGGAGACGCAGCCCGTGGCAGGCTCGCGCCGCCTCGGCGTGGCCGCGACGCCAGCGCGGGCGCTCGAGGCGGAACGCCTTCCGGGGGCCCGTTCACGGCCGCAGGGAGGAAAAACCACTCGGGCCAGACACTTGGCGTTTACTAAACGGCCCTGGGCGTTTACTAAAAGCCTTGCACTGTTCGATTCCTTCAATGGGTGCGTTTACTAAACGGCCTCGCTTGTCGGGCTGGTTATTATGGGGGTGGATTTTCTGCCCTCTACCACGGGAATCTTTTTGCGTCGGCGGCTAGGCAGGGAATGGCTGCGCTGGCGACGGGAGGCCTAAGCGGGTTATGCCGTTCGAGCGAATTGTGCCACCATGCAGGAGGCGGAGCGAGGGAGGGCGCGGCCGAAAGAGGGGCGGACCCACGGAAAACAACCTGCGGCGTTGAGTTCATGAGGAGGACAGGGTCGCGAGGTTCCGGGGACCTCCAGAAAATCAGATCGTTCAAGGTTGAACGGTCCGCGCGGTGTCAGAAGCCAAGTCCCACGTCGTCAAGGCATGAACCTGCTGTGACCTTGAGGGGGGGTCGGTGTACATCTTCTGCTTCCCACATCCACGCTTGCCGCCGCCTTGTGAGGTGCCGGTGCTGCGACGGCCGATGGAGGCAAGCAGACGCAAAAGGTTCCCAAATTTCCCCAATGGACGTATCCACTTCCGTTCCGGACACTTCTCTCCTGCACTCCAGAAGTTTCGCCCTCCATTCTGGAGGTTTCTGGAGGTTTTGGATCCTCTGGGGATGGGGTAACGTGCTTCGAAAGCTTCCTCATGTTCCCGGCGAGGAGGGGGAGGGGGACCACTTGGCAAGAGGGCCACCCCAACCAACGCATATCTCAAGAGAGGCGACTTCTTCGTTCGAGCGGCTGGCCCGTGAACATCCTTATCGCTCAGGGGTGGATCCACTTTACCCCCAGACCTCCAGGAAGAACGCTTTCAGATTGGATGCCGAGCCTTCGCCTGGGAGGTTTTGAAGCCCCCCCTGGGTCCATCCCTTCTCATCCTCCTCCTTCTCCTCCTCCTCCTCCTCCTCCTCAGCCTCCTCCTCCCGCTTCTTCTCCTGTGATCCTTCAAGGGGAAGCCGGACCTCTGGGGCCCAGGCTTGGCTGGTCTCTGGCCTTTCTTCTTTTGGTTTTCCTGTTGCCACCCTGCCCAGAGGCTCCACAGACTCCAGACCGAAGGCTCGACCTCCACTCCACTCTGGTGATTTCCCTCCATTCTGTATGGTTTCCACTTGACCCTGGAGGTTCCTCACGGTTTTGGAACCTTGGGTGAGGCCTTTGACTGGTGGAATTGGGCAGAAACAGAAGCGACTAGGACATCCGCTGCGCCGATCATCAAGAAGCCTCCCCTCCTTGCTTTGTCCCAGCGTGTCTTCGGCAGCTGCAGCTTTCAGTAAGCTGGCCCAGCTTCTCAGCCACTTGCAAAAACATGAGGTTGCATTTCCACGCGAAGCTGGCCCAGCGTTCGCCCAATGTTTCGCCTGAAAGTTGAAGCAGGTTTTTAAGCGAACCTTTTATGCGTTGTCGCTTTAGCTGTAAGGGTGAAGTTTGTGCATCATGTCTTTTCCTCTGCCCAGGTTGTGCTGATAGATTTCGGCTGCGCCACCACGCCACCGGCGAGGTTGGATCCGAAGGTATCGCGCCCAGATAGCCGCCCTGGCGCTCGTCACATCCGCGCGCCCGAGGTGGTGATCTCTTTTCCCGTCGAACTAAATTTTCCCCTCCTCGCCATGAGGAACAGGGATCCTGAAGGAAAGGGGTCCTGGTTTTCTTCGTCGCTTTCGGTTTCTGGACTCTTCCTGACTCCTGGTCCATCAAACTGGATGGACCCACGAACCCAGTACATAACTCCAGTCGGACTTTCATATGGCACGTGCTCTTTGCGCTGGTGGGCGTCGTCTCCTTGTTTCTCGTCCTCGTCCTCGTCGCCTTCGTCCTCATCGCCCTCATCCTTCTCCTCGCCCCCCTCCTCCTCCTCCTCCTCCTCCTCCTCCTCCTCCTCCTCCTCCTCCTCCTCCTCCTCCTTCTCCTCCTCGCCCCCCCCTCCTCCACCTATCCTCCCTCCTCCTCCTCCTCCCTCCTCCTCCTCCTCCTCCTCCTCCTCCTCCTCCTCCTCCTCCTCCTCCTCCTCCCCCTCCTGCCCCTCCTCCTCCTCCTCCTCCCCTCCTCCTCCTCCTCCTCCTATCCTCCCTCCTCCTCCACCTCCTCCTCCTCCTCCTCCTCCTCCTCCTCCTCGCCCCCCTCGTCTTCCTCCTCGTCCTCGCCCTCCCCAGTCCTCCTTCTGACCGCCGCCGTCGCCTGCGGGGCCCCGCAGCCCGCTCTCCCAGGCGGTCCGCCGGCGCCGCGGCCAGGCGCTGCCGTCGCCCCGCACACGGCACGTCGGAAGCGCGCAGAGGCCTGCCCTTCTGCAGGGGGACTATTCGAAAGTAATCAAAAAATAGTCTGGGACTATTTTTTGACTGCTTTTGACCATTTGGGAGTCTTTTTGAGTATTTTTGGTTCGCCCAAAATCCGCCTGTAGGGGGACAGGCCCGACCTAAGGCTACAGTCAACCCGCGTAGCAAGGACGGGCAACCTTCCCAAGGGTACGGCAGGTTCGCGTCGAGTCGACCCGCGGCGACCCCGCCGCGAGCGTTCAAGGTTGAACGCCGCCAGTGGCCCAGAATCGGCCCCCATGGAACGAGCGGGCGATCGAAAGGCCGCCGATCGTTCAAGGTTGAACGATCCACGCGGTGTCAGAAACCAACGCCGGGGTCGTCACGACACGAACTTGCCGTACATCGATTCTGAGCGTCTTCGTCGGTTCTCGGCGGTCGTCTGGCCCTGGGATGCGTTCCAACGGCTGCGGTTCACCGAGAGGTGTCCGGGGGTGCCCGTATCGTCCCGAACGGCCGCCAGAGAGCCAAGTTATGACCCGAAAGCCGGGGGCAACGCCAGGGGGTGATAGGCTCAGGGCGGATGGGCAACCTTGCCTCCTCGGCCCATCCTTGATCACTTTCGTTGGTCGCGCCCTGCTAGACAAGCTTCGACATGGGCTTTCGAGGCCCTTACATCCTTATCGAGCATCCTTATGAATACGGGTCGACTGTACCCCTTCTGGCGCTCGCACGCGCGAAAGCAGGTGCCAGATGCGAGCGCGCCACGCGTGTGCTTGACATTCTCCCGCTCAGCCCTCGTGTGGCGATTTCGACGCCGCCATGTTGGACACACCCAGTTCGCGCCCCTCCCAGTGAACTTACATGCCTTACCGCGCACGTGCCACACGCATATAGGATACCCCCATACCGCGCGCTGCTGTTTCGTGTGAGGAATCTGACGCACCCATGGTGGTCATCCCCCCCTTATTGGAGCCCACAGAAACGAAAACGCATGCCTAATGCACACTCGCCACACGCATGCTGGATAACCCTTGTCAGCGCACGCGCGTGCACGTGGGAGGAATCCGACGCTCCAGTGCTGGATGCTCCTTCGTTGGCACCCACGCGCGTGAAACCACAGGCGAACTGCACAAGCGCCGTTCGCACGGTGGACAGTATGTGTTTGAGCGCATACATCTTTTCGTGTGTTGAACCCGACGCCCCCATGTTGGATACCCTCTTTGACGCCCACCCACGTGGTGCCAAACGCAAGCTTGCCTCACGGATGTTGGGTACCCCCTCTTGCGCACCTATCTCTGCGCGTGAACCATCGGACGTCCCCATTTTGGAAATAGCCCATTGTTGCCCACATGTGTGGCACAACAGCGTGCTTGAACGAACACCCGCCGCACGCATGTCGGAACACGTATTGCTTACGCGTGATGGTTTCGAAGTCTTCTGTTGGATGCCCCCATGTGGCGCCCCAACGTGTGACACCATATGCCAAATACGCACGCGCCACACGCATATCCGGTACCGCCCTTTCCGCGCACGTGAGTTTAGAACATTGTTCGTGTGAAGAGTCCGACGCCAGCATGTTGGATACCTTTTTTGTGGCGTCCACACGCGTGAAACCACGTATCGAAAGCGCATGCGCGCGCAGATTCGCGTGTAAAGCGTCGGGTGGCCCCTTCGAATGTCAGCCAGCGCAGATTCCAAACAGATCAAAGGACTGACATGAAGTGGACTGAAGTGGACTGAGGTAGACTGAACTCGGTCAGACACGACTGGACTGGGGTGGACTCTACTCCACTCTACTATACTTTAGTCCGCCCCAACTCTACTCTACCCGACTCTACTCTACCGTCTACCCTAGTCTTCTCTGCTTTAATCTACCCTACCCTACCCTATCCTGACTTACTCTGTTCTACTCGAACCTACTCCTACTCTATCATACTCCTGCTCGACTGTAATGCATTAGCCTCTCCTCTAATAGAATGTAGCATGTTCTACTCTTACTCTATTATGTTATACCCGACCCCACTCGACCATCTACCCTACTGTGATCTTCCCTACTCTACACTACTCTACTGTACTGTACCCCTACTCTGCTCTACTCTACTCTATTCTACCCGACTCTACTCTACCATCTACCTTTTCTGCTCTACTCGACCTACTCTACTCTATCCTATCCTAACCTACTGCATCCCTACTCTATTATACTGTACTGTATTCGACTCCTACACATGCTCTGCTCTGCTCGATTATATTATACTGTGCTCTGATATGTTGTAGTATACTCATCTATCCTTCTTTACATGTTATATTGTACTCTATTTTATGATACGTCCGAGTCTGACCATTGGAAACCATTGGAATGCCAGAGGAAGCCATGCGGACACAGAGGAAATCATGCAGATAACAGAAGAAACCATGTGGATACAGAGGAAGCCATGCGGTTGGTTTGACGAGTGCTAGGGCATTCAGGGGTGGGACTAGTGAAATAGTTCTCTAGGGACCGGGTTAGGATTCTTACAGGCAAGCCTATATGGAGAAACAGACCCCTACGGTTTAGGGCCAAAGGTCAGACGGACAAAGAGAACCCTGGGCTGGAGCCCGTACCAATAGAAGCGAGGGATGAAAAGTTGGTCCAGGCGGCAGCCCTGAGTCCAGGAGCCGTTTCACTCAGGATCCCTCCAATTGTGGCTATTTCCCTTTTCTTTTGCACTTGCCAGAGAAACAGAGAGGTGGTGCTGGGCCTGTGCTGGGACTGCGAGGCAGACGTCTGGAGCCTCGGCTGCACCCTCGCCTCGCTGTATATGGGCGCCCGCCTCTTCCACGTCCACACCGACATGGAGCACCTCGCCATGATGGAGCACATCACCGAGACGTGCATCCCCGTCTCCATGGGCCTGGGCGTCGCTCCGCGCATCGCGGAGAAGGGGGCGTTCTTCGACCGGACGGGGCGGCTGGAGTGGCCGCGTCGTGCGTCGAGCGAGGACGCCATCGACCGTGTGCGCGAGGCGCCCACGCTGCGCCAGGCTGTGCTCCGGCGCCACGGCACGTTCGGGGAGCTGCTGGCGGGGATGCTCGAGATAGAGCCACGGTCGCGGCTCCAGGCCGCGGCGCTGCTGAGGGGGTCCTTCCTCGCAGGGCCAGAGGTGTCAGAGTGAGCGCGCTGAGCCCTGGTGGGTCTCCATGCCTGGAGCCCGGCCATTCCGGAGTCCTACAGCGTTCACTCCTCCCTGTTTCCCAGGCCCCCGACCCTCAACCCTCCGCAAACCCGCTTCGCATCTCCTCGGACGCTCATCGATCCCGCTCGGATCTCCATCGAAGCTCGAACCTCCTAGTGTGGGCTCTCCTATGGCTCTTGGGCCGGCTGCCCTCTGGGCCTGCAGAGTCTCCGTGGCTCCGACGCCCCCAAGATACCCCGAGAGGTTCTCGCAGAGGCCCCGAAGAGGCACCCATGATGGGCACATCTTCCACCACTACTACCATATGTAGGACTGGGGAGAAGGGAGGACGAGGAGGTCCTCCTCCTCCTCCTCCTCCTCCTCCTCGTCCTCCTCCTCCTCCTCGTCCTCCTCCTCCTCCCTCTCCTACCTATGGTAGCGGTGGTGGAAAATGGGCCGTCGTCCCAACCATGTTCTGGAACACTCCCGCCAGAACGTGTTCCTCCCTGCCACATTTTTCCCAGGGCAGCCCCCCCCACACAGCCCCATGAGGCTTCCCGACGGCCCACGGGAGCCCCAAGATGGTCACGGTCAAGGACGGCCTCCCAGAGACTCCCCGACAGACCCTCACCCACGCTCCAGAACACTCCCGCCAGAGCATGCTTCTCCCTCCCTTCCTGCCGCCTTCCCGGGGCAGCCCAACAGTGTGCCTTCATCCCTGTTTCCGGGGCCCCAGACTTTCGCCTCCCTACATCCGACCGCGGGCATGTTCCAGATCGCTCTCCCCAGAACGTGCTCGTTCCACATTTTGGCGAAAGTTGTTCGATCCATCATCCCTTGGAATGTTCTGCGCATCCTGTAGATCAGCCCGCATGCAGCTCTCTGCAAGACAGAGGTGGTGATTCGCACCGATTCTGCACCACATGGACACCCGGGCATGCGTGTGGCCTGATGCTGCCGGAGTAGATCGGACCCGACGACCTCACAACTTGGCGCAACCGTGACCAGAACCTAAGCGCACGAGAAGCGCGCGTGGCTCGAGCCTACACTTTTGCATATCTTGGCATCAGCAAAAGTAACTATGTGTATACACACATGTGTACACATGCACAAGTCAACAACTATACATGCACATGTATGGATGTGTGCGTTTTCGAATATATGGCCGTGTGTCTATACCATGTGTGATGACTTGACATGCGTGCGTTCACATCATACATGTGCATGTATGTATACGGGCATGTTCAGACACGCGCGCAGATGCGCACACATGTAAATGCGTAGTGTGTATGGCATAAAATTATAGAAGATACTTGTGCCGGCACGTACGGCGTATACATGCGCCTGCATGTTGTATGGTTGCCTTCGTATAGTTGACGTATGTCCTTGTTGGATTCGCCGTTTGCTTGAACATGTGTGTTAGTGATAGTTCGTCATCTTGCGCGTTGAATTAGTTTTTGTAGGTCGAACGGCGTCACCGCTTCCTGGTTGGACTGGGTAAATACGCAACTATGTATGTTGGTTGATGCTTATGTTCAAATTTTGGGCAAGCGGCAAGCGAGAGTCAGGGAGAGTGGCATCATTATCCCTCCTTTTCCCCTCCTGTTCTCCACATCCCCTTCCGTCCATAAAGGAGGATGTCGAAGAAGATCAGGGGAACGAGGGAGGACGAGAATGCGGAGGACAGTGAGGACAAGGAGAGAAAGGATGTCGAGGAGGAAAAGTAGGGGCGGCAGAGGAGGCGGTGACGAAGACGGGGGAGGAGGAGGAGAAGGAGGAGGAGGAGGAGGAGGAGGAGGAGACAGGTGGGAGGGGTGAGTATGATGATGATGATGATGATGCTGATGATGATGATGAGGAGGAGGAGGAGGAGGAGGAGGAGGAGGGGGAGGAGGATGTGGAGGTAAAGGAAGAGGGAGGAGGACGAGGAGGCAAGAGGGCCAGGAGGAGGGCCAAGTCACTATCCAGAAGGGTGGAGGAGGAGCAGAAGGATGAGGAGGGGGAGGATGAATATTAGGAGGAGGGCGAGTTGTATGACGACGACGACGACGATGATATGAGATGAGATGAGGCAGTCGCTAAGCGAGTCGAAAGATGATGGAAGCGGCAGCTACAGCAGACAGCAGCAGGAGAAGGGCGGGGCGGGCGGGCGGCGGTCCTTGAACTTGTGGAACGGGCGCGCGCGCGGGCGCGCCGTCGCTCCGTCCAGACCGACCGACTCCTTACCCCCTTCCCCTCTTAGCCTTCTCCGCTGTGCTTAGAACTTTAGGCCACTTATGCTGAGCTATTAAATTAAGGTACCCCTGACGGGTGGGGCTGATGTGCTGCACACAAGCCTTCTTGAGGTTCTCACTGAGCATCAACTGGCAGAAGCACCCACAAGAGACGCAAAACCAAACGTTGAGCCCCGAATGGAATTGCACACCATGGCTTTCATGCAACCACCCCCCAGCTACGTGAAGACGAGCACCCCTGGGGAGAGAAAAGAACGTACCCCCAAGCGCTTTCAAATTAAAGCGCGGGCTATTTCGCCACTCAGTCAGAGTTGCTTGTGTGGCGGAACCTCGACAAACCGTGCAACTCTTCCCATCGGCGGACAGGGAGTGGGTGGAGTTAAACACAGAACATTGGAGGGGCCCTGGAGGCTCAGTAAAATTCCCACGATAGCGGGACTCCTCATCCACTCGGGCTCGGGTTGCGGCGACATTTGCGGCTGCGTCAGCAGCTTGGTTACCTAATCTGAGCCAGGGCGGGAAGCGACCACAATCTGCATCAAGATGCGAACTTACAAACAGCACAACTATCTGGGACCTGTCACGTTTTGAACCTCATTACCGATCTGGGCCCAGATGTCCGCCTCGGGCCCCGACGGGTTAACGAACTGATCCTGATACCAACCACTCACGACTCCGAAGTTGCCCGAGGCGAACACAACGAACCCACGGCTGAGTTGCAAGGGTAACAGTAGTGCCATGAGCTCACCTCTTCCCACCACTTGACGGTGTCCTGGAAGAGGTCCTTCGAGTGGCGCACGAGCTTCGAAATCTGGGGGAAGCTGGGGACCAGCGGCCAGAACAAGGCCAACTCCAACTCTGCGAAGGTGCGAATCCGATGACTCCTTACCTCCGCTGGCGTCTCCAAAGGAATGCAGTGGAGCTTCTCTCGAGCCTGTGCCTGCAATCCCTGGGAAGAACTCATTCCACTCTCCTGAACACCTCCAGTCTGATGTTGAAGGTGGCGGCGGTACTGACAACCAACTCTTGGGGATCAATCCTCGAAGCCAGAAGCACTCCGCCGACTCCCACTGGGCATACGCTTGCGAAACGAGCGACTGTGTGACCTCGTAAGCTCGCGACCCCACATTGCACTCACACCCCCACACCCTATGGAAGGCGGTCCCCACCTCCTTCTCACAACGGGGGCATACTTCTGAAATGCATCCGGGTTTAGCTGCAACCCTTCTCGAACGTGGCCACATAGTTCCTGCTGCTATCGCCGTCATAGTCTCAGCAAGCCTATGGCCGAGAGGGGTGCCTCGCAATTGTCGGAGGAGGCGAACATAAGAGCGCATGTCGATTCCTTCTTCAGCACCAGCACCGCAGTAATGCTTGGAAGCTGAAGACCAGTACAGCCGCTCTCGATCCTCTCGGAGCTCTCGTACGAGATCCGCTGCAAGGTCCACACCCTTGCCTTCGACGGAGATCTCGGGAGGAAAGTTCCATGTCACCTCTTCGCCGTCGTGTGCTGGGGGTCTGGACCAAGACTCTGCTGTGGTGGGCTGCCAGCCCGTCTCCAGCAGGTAGCATATGACGGCCCCCATCGGACCTCTGATATGACGAGGCCGAAGTTGGATAGCCAAACTCTGGAACTTCTTGACCGCCGACGGCCACGCTAGACGCACTGCACTGCGGAAGTGTGTACCCTCGTGGCCCCACATGCGAAACCACAACTTGAGGCAATCCACGGCCATGGTGATGCCTGGGTCGCCCTTCTCGCCCTGGAGCGCGAGGAGGGTCGCGAGGCACCTCCCAGACGAAGGTGCAGCGCAGGCGTGGCCTTGGCGGCGGCGAAACGCTGTGACTGCATGGCCGAAAGCTCCGTGGATCTGATGTCCGTAGGACCCTGCTGACAGGGAACCTTGGCGTTCAACTCTGGCCGTGACCTTATACTTGTTGGAAGCCTGCGCGTGCCGGGCAATCTTAGCACTCATTAGGGCTGGCTTCTCCAAGCGCCTACGTCTCACAGCTCTGGCAAGCCGACGCCCACCACCAAGGCCAACGCCAAGTAAGATACTTGAGCCTGCGCCTCGATTATGAAACCAGCTCGCTCGACTGCCTTTGCGACGTGCTTTGCATCTGACATGTGCGTGCACAGAACAGCAGACTTGACTGCCACCTGCAACCTTTGCTTGCGCAGTCCTTTTCATGTGTCAGTGATAACACTGGCAAGTTGCTGTCTGATTTTTTCTTCGAACTCTTTATGTTCTGGGTCAGGTCGTCGATCCAGATGCGATGCGAGAAATGAGGATGCATGGTAGTAATGGCACGCAGCACGAAGAACACCATCATCCGAGCGAAACGCGCGCCTGATCTTAATCCCTGAACAAGACTCTGCGTGGGGCACATTGGAGCTGAGTACGCTCCTGTCTGTCGCAGGGTGCGTGGGGCAGCGCACTGTTCAATCCCCAGTGCCAATATTGTGGGAGAGAAACCGACCTTCAAGGCGCCCTCGATGAGCAGGTCCCACGACGCCGCGTCGTAGAAGCCCTTGATGTCTAGAAGGCCGTTGCCAATGGACAGAGATAGATGATGCGCCAACTCTGCATCCAATACTCTGAGGAACGCCTCCCTGAGTGCGGCATTTCCAACCTCTGCCGCATCCCAAGAAGGCGCGTTGAGGTCCGCCCAGTCGGCCACCTCAGGTTCACGACGCATGGGCCATACACGAGCGAACATGGGGAGTATTCCAATGACTCGATATCCTGAACCCTTGTGCTTTGGCATCATATGGCCGATGACGAGCTGGGTCTGAGCTGGCCATGCTAGAAGTGATTCCATGGACTCGAATATTGAAATGAGCTCGGATAAGGCTGGGACAGGGAGCCTTTCGAAATCACAAGGGGGAAGCCGATCAACTCCTTGGCCCAGCTTGGGCCGCATGCGCGTGGTGGCTGCCCTTCACGCGCTCGGGCGTGAGTTCTGCCCAGGGCTCGTCCTCAGCAGCAGCTCGTACTTCAGCGAATGCCCGATCCAAGCGATCATACTCTTTGATGCGTGGGCACCAGATCGCCTCCCAATGCTTCCTCTTGTGGTCCATGATGTCCGAGGGGTCGTGGAGCACATCATTCTGGACGATGAGTTCTTGCTGGACCAAGGGCTCGTCCCGAAGATTGCAATGCAGTGCTCCCAGCGCCTCTGGGCTGTCGACCCATTCCTTGAAGCGGTTGAGGGGCGCTTTGATGGCCCTTCCTTGGACTCTCTTGCTCAACTTAGTAATCAAACATTCAGTCTTTGATAAATCATTGTCTGAGTCATCCTGCAGAGTTCTCAAGGAACGAATAAGCGTGGGGAAACCTGGTTTCTGAGGTCGCAGTGCTTGCTCTGCTTTCCCTGGGATGTCGCCAAGGAGCTTTGTCAATGACATTGAGAGGGCTCGAATCTGCTTGCAACCATTTCTCCGATTTCGGTGGCGTCTGATTGCTGCGACCACCGTGGCGAGGCGAGTCCACCAGTTGGCTAGCATGTCCTGGAAAGGCTGGATCCTGGAGTGCTCAGCCTGGTGAACCTCGCCGACGCGAAATGCATGGCCCCGAGCACGACTGGGGCCCGCGGGGATATCACAAGAGTGGCGGGTACAAATCACAGCCTCCACTGCAGTGACCCAGGAGGCATAGAGGCCCGCGAGGGCTAAAACGTGACTTGAGCCAAAACGGTAACAGACAGACGATGCGATGTGGCCATGTATTTTGCAGACGGAGCTGGGAACGCAACCAACCTGAGCACGGTTATTATTCCAAAGAGGCTCTGGTCTGTTATAATTCGGGCTTGGGGTTTCTTCCAGGGGCTCGTCTAAGCCGGTTGGGGTTGGGGTGATACACGCGCATGGATTCGAAGCAGAACTTTCTTGCAGTGGCCAATCCTCCTCATGCCTCGCGTCGAGGTCCTCGTCGCCCTCGCCGTCAGGTGCACCCAGGAAAGACCAGAAACCGTTCGGGGAGCTCTCTGGGGGCTCACTGGGAGGCCCAGGTTCCAAGCGGTCTCCGAACATTGAACTATACACTTCAGCCCTGCGCTGTCGAGACAAAACTTGCTTAGCTTTACTGGCAGCCTTAGCCTGAGACGATTTTGAACCAGGCGTTGGGGTTGCTCTAGGTCTGGACACCTGCGGGAGCTTGCCAGGCAGAGACAACATTCGGGTAACCAACTGAGACCCTTGCGAATGAAACTGAACTGCCAATCCTAAATGAGGCTTCCACGGAACATCCAAGACTGGTGAAAT